TGAAGTCTAGTGACTTGGGTTTGCTGTGTAAATTCGACATCCCTTTGGCAGAACAAAGGTACATGGGTGACCCATTCTGCCACTAAGATGAACCTAAAAAATATTTTGTCCTCTTTGTCTTCCTGTCATTAGCTGCAGGAGAAAAATTCCACATTGGCAAGAGATGCTATGGTTAACCATTACTAAGCATCCTCTTTCACATTGTGATACTTATACACATGGGAAATCCTGGACACCTCCAGGCACCGCAATCCAGGTGGAGACATTGGGGGGGGGCAGGCTGGGCAAGAAGCAGTGCTCAGAGACACAGCACAGCCATCCCCAGAGCTCCGCAGGCCCTCTGCACCATGAGGAAGTGGGATCCTGTCATCACGCCACACCTAGGAAGGACTTGGCAGAGGGGGTCATTGATAGCAGAAGCCTCACCTTCCTTGGGTCCAGCCCGATGCTTTGAAACATCAGAGAAGGGTGGGGCAATCAGGTAGGAGGACCAGGAAGGAAGGCCATTTGTACAGGATGCCACAGCATCATAAGCCCTGCGCCAGCTTGAAGGGCATTGTTGAGTCTGGAGTCCCTTTAACAGGCTGGCCCAGGAGTCCCTTTAACAGGCTGGCCCAGGAGAGGTGGAGGAGGCAGGCCCAGGCCTCTACCAGTAGCCAGGACAGAGGGCTCTGGGTGCTGTCAATCCACCTTGACACAGAGAGGACTCCATCTTTGAGGTTGATTTGCATCTGTTTAATAAACGTTTCTTTTAAGCACGTGGTACAGATGGTGGCAGGAGTAATGCATGAGTCTGCTGGCCATTGTGGGCAGGAATCATTCATTTTTAGAAACTGTCCTAACAGTGTGCTTTAAGACTGTACAGTTGTCTGCCATGGAAATTATTCTGAATTACTATATTTGGCCGTGAAAGCCTTCAACAACATAAATAGAGCAGTTATACAGACAGAGGAGTCATGATACAGATGGTCTTACAAACAAAGATCCATACAATTGTTAGTGGCAAGAGTCATTCAGGCCCACTGGACATCCAAACACATCAACCAAAAGCATCAAGAAATGCAAGAAAGCAGAGAGATCAGAGCTCCAGAAAGATTCAAATACAGAAGCAAAAGACAGGAGGCTTGATGAAATTCAGGACCAAGTGGGCATTTCACATTCTATATAATATTAGAAAATGTATACATGTGTAAAGGTAACTCTGTCAACCTTAGGGGGAGACACCTATACAACAAGCTGTTAGCACCATAAAATTAAGTCAACATGTTTATTTTAATAATTAATAAGGTCATTTCGTCGATATGATATAGATACCAGAATGCGATCAATTACCAAGCAATAGCTTTATTCAAAGTTAAAAGGTACTCAAAATTAAAAGGCATCTTCTCTGTCTCACACAGTATAAATAAATTGCCCTAATGCAGCTTAATGTAAATCTATATTAACTGCAAGAAGAGTCTTATACCAAGATGTGACTGTGCATTCAAGATGCTCAAATAGGTTTTTTTTGACACTTATTACAAGTGAACCAGAAAACAATGAGATTATGGGTCTGCTATGGATAGGAAAAGATCATCAACACATGGAGTATACACAAACCATTGTCTTCCCATGGTTGAAAATAGAACTTTGTAAAACATATGACAGCAGATGAAACATGACAGCAGAAGAAATGTTACTTCAGGCTTTAAAAACATTTTTTTCTTTTAAAGGTAACGACATCAGGCTTTACCAAAGCCACAGGAACATCAAGCTTACCAGTAAATAAAGCTTTAGTTTCCTTCTAAAGTGCCAGAGGTGGAGATAATTTCAAAAGCAGAGAAATATCATATACTGCATTTGTTTGCACTAGTTGTCAGGCAACAGTTGCTCATTCTGAAACTACAAACTGTCAAAATTCACAACCGGCATGATTTGTGCAAGTCAAAGACAACATGCAGAAAGGTCAGGTTACCCACTTCCCAGATAAAAGCTGAAACACTAGGACTCCAGCAAGAGGAATTTTACATTTAAGGACTGGCAAGCATTCTTACTAAGCAATCCCATCTACAAGCCATGGGAGTCAAAGTATTTGGGCTAAAGCTGATGGACACTATAATCCTAAACATGTTTACTGAGGAATCAGCC